AACCACTTGCTGCTTTCTGTACCGCATTAACTCTTGTACTGCTGTCTTCATACACCAACGGGCTTCACTGACCAAAGCTGTACACTATGTATGGTGCCGGTTACTTTTAGACACCCCTTGAATAACTTCATACCAGGCATGGCATAGTTTCAACGCTTTTCTGAGAGACTTCAGCATACAGTTCACAGAAGTCAAACAGTCTTTTTCCTCACTATTCCCTATCTACAGTGGCTGCCCCACCATATCTGCACAGGTTAGAGTCCATAATGGCCAGGTGCTGGTGTTTTCAGGGCAGGTTGCAAGTCCCAGCAGTTCCTCTACATGTGGAAGGCTTTGGGACATAGATCGCCAGCAGAACAGAAGAAGCCCAAACAGGTGTCAGCTAGCAGGAACTCCATCTCTCTTCAACTTTCTACCATGTGCTCTGATGTCCCTTTTATAACAACACAGGACCAGTGGGTTGGGCCCAGAAAGCCCACATAGACATCCCCAGAACAGTGGCATAAGGCACTAACCCTTTCCCTCCAAGACGGGGTAGCAACTCACTAACCTGCCTAGTAAGGAACCTGCCTACACAGTAGCAGAATTTCAATTAAAAAATGTAATTTTTTTTAAAATTGGTTCCATTTTCTGATGTTCACTGAGGTCAAATGAAAGCTTGTTTTCAAATGAAGTGATGAGACAACTCGAAGAGGCAAGATGAAAATTCTAAATCTAAAACATTTTTTCATTCGAAAAAAATCATACAGTACATTTTGTAACGCACATATGCAAGCCACAAAAGAAACCTGTTTAATATGGATTGAATTAATTCAAGTAGACAGTCTGCATGAAATTTTAAGGGCTTTCAAAAGAAATTAGTGGACCTAGTGATGGTAAAATTAAATGCTCAAGGAATTATTAATTCCGAATTTCAGTGCAAATGAATTGTACTGGTGTATGGCCAGCTTAAAGTGGCTGAAAAGGCTGAAGGTTTTTTACCTTAATGAATTTTCTACATTAAGGTAAAAAAACCTTTAATGATTACCCCACCCTATACTTTTCTGAGCCTGATCTTGATCTTGATCCAGTGATGTGCACTAGAGCAGCAGCTCTCTTGGCTCTCTCTCTCCTCATTGGTTCAGACAAAGCAGTGGGAGCAATTGGCTCCTGCTGCTGTCAATCACAGCCAGTGAGGAGGGAGCAGAGGGCAGGGCTGAGCAGAACAGACACAGACACAGAGAGCCAGCTCAGGAGCGAGCACTCACAAATGCCCACAGAGCAATCAGCTTGCTATGGGAGAACTCAGCAGAGGGGAGAAGCCAGGAGTGCTGGAAGGGGATCAGAAAGGAGGAGGATCAGGGCTGTGCAAAACCATTGTATGAAGCAGGTAAGTACAACATGCTTGTTATTTTTTTAAACAAAAAAGGGTTACTATCACTTTAAGTCAACTGTCTCACCATAGTATCCAACTAACAAGATTAGCTGTTATAGCTACACAAGGCACACCAAGACTAAGCGGTGGAGAAGCTAATAGAGTCAGCTTGTCTACTCTGTATCAGTACGGCTAAGGCCGCAACTAGCAGACTAGGTAATTCTGTGATTATACTATGCCAAAAGTTTGGTTCCATGTGTATGCACCAAGAATGAGCAAGTTGTAAGCACAAGTTGGGGTTTATTTACTAAAGGCAAATATACTGTGCATTACATGTGCACTGCAAGTGCAGTTGCTGCAGAGCTTAGTAAATAAGGTAAAGCTTCACTTTGCAAAGAATACCCAATTACATGTAAGAAAAATTTAAAAAAAACAGCATTTTTGCTTTCACATGATTGGATGATAGAAATTAATAGTTTCTGCTCATTTACTAAGATCTGGAGCAATTTCACTTGCAGTGCACAGTATATTTGCCTGTAGTAAATCAACCCCATTATATAGTAGCACTACCCCCTTAAAGGCCACTGAGTAATTTTTGGGTTGCCTGTCTTTCCTGAGCCCCAGCTTTGGAAGCCCAAAACCTGCTGATACCACCTTAGACCTTTGGCCAGATAACCCTCTTGCTGCAATCATAAAATACACGCACACACAGCTTAGAGTGAACTGATCTTTTGGTTATATTGAGGTTAAAATGCATGCTAAGTAGAAAAAATAAAGAAAGTATGTGCATGGAATAACAGCTAATACTCAGATCAATTCTCAATGTCCTGCAATTCGGAATTTAAATGGTAACCCCAGCCCTGAGATGTTTCTTCCCAAGTGAGCAGCAGAGGGGAAATGATTGAATTTGGCAGGCTAACTCACATTGAGCTCTCAGGTACCAGTGGCTGAGATTAATTCTGAGACAAAGAAAGAGCTCTTTAGATAGGTCAAATTTCCCTTTAAAATGCAGTGTCCAATCTTCTGAGCGCTCGATTGGGCCCTAGTTGGTGCACATGAGGATTTAAATCTTTCTTGATGCAAAGGTAGGATTTCTTTAAGAGAGGGTGAAAAAAAAGAGAAGGGAACTGCTCCTTTAAGTGATGTTGAATTTGGATGGTGTCTCCTTAGTACACACAGAGTGAAATCTAAAAGTAGGCTGAGATTAAGGAAAGAGGCAGAAACACACTTCTGAAGGGGTTAGTTGCTCTTTAAAAGGGAAGCAAACTACAGTGATAAAGAAATTCCTTCACAAAAGACACAGTTTGGAACTGAAGCATTAATACAAATTGAACCATGGGGTGCAGATATTGAAGCAGGCTCTAGTGATTTAGATTTGACAATCTCATCCTTAGCATGTGTAACTTGTGAAACAAAGGATGTTAAACTGAGAAAAACGTAATAGAACTTAGCAATGTCATTTGCAACCTGGATGATTTATGCATGGAGCTCTCTCACCTGATCTTTGGCTTGGTCAGGTAGTGAATAGTTTCTCTGCAGATGGGGACCCCCCATGTTCTCTAGATTCCTCTGCCACAGATCACTCCAGATGACAGCACTCCGGTCTGTCTGCTCACAGGATTGTCATTCTGGCTTGTCATCTGTGTTGGTGATCAGTAATTCCTCCTCACTCCTTCACTGCGGCCTGGCCCAGCCCGGACATCCTGTGTCTCACACAGCTTTCCCCTCACAACTGCTCTTCAGCTCTCCCTATCCACTTCCTTACCTCTTCCTGGGTTCCTGGGCTGCTGTGTTTATCTGCCTCCGCCCATTAGCTAGCTCTTATGGGAAATCCAGCAAGTCTAGCAAAGCTTTTCTTCAACAGAGTCTGTATAACTCAGCTGCAGAACACTGCCATCTTGTGTGCACTTAACATTCTGCAGCCAGTATTTCTGCAGGGTATTACACATATAAACCTTTTTTTGGAATCTATATACTCTATTCTTTTTTCCTTCTCATTAGTCTTTCTTTTTGGGATGACAAGCAGATGTGTAAAAAAAAGTGTTATATTGCAATAAATCCTTATCCACATTCTAATTGCATTTTTTACCTTGAAAAGACAGTATTATGGAAAAAATTATTATAATACTTTTTTTCATCGTTATTCTCCATAGTCAGGGGCATGCCAGTGGTATGTTTTTTGCTTACATATTTTGTGCTAAATGGTCCAATGCCATAAAATAAAATGGACGCCACTCTCCTGGTCAGCCCATGTACCATGCCTGGCAAATCTGACACCCTAGGCCAAACCTGAGTTATGTTCAGCGACCCCTCAGGGGGTAAGCGCTGCTTTAGCAATGCAGGTATCTAGTTATAACTCGTACAGGTTGCTCAGTCACAATCAGCAAGGTGCAGTGGAATCTTTATCAATTGGTGGTTGGACCCTCCAGGAGGTAGTGCTGAGGAAAACTCCATACATAAACATCACGGCTAAAGAATCCTTTTGAAAACCATGCAATGTAAAGAAATGAGAACTTCAGTATATGTTTTTTAATGCTATAAACACTGTATATGCTGTGAAAAAAGATTTTATAAGTAACTTTTTTTTTTCAGCCAGTACAATAGAAACATTGTTCAAAGAGCAAACAGTTTGTATAGACAAATATACAACAATAACATGTGAACTGCAAGGTGAAATGTCAGGTCTCCCTGATGTTCTTATTCTATGAAATAAATAAATGTAAGCATAAGAAAGCTGTGAACATAAACAGTATGTCAGGAATGTACTGTATTAAATCATTTTGTTTATTTTTTAAATCGTTATACAAAATGTGAAAAATAAGAGATGAGACTGGGGACATCATAAAGATAAATAGGTGGAAGGTGAGGACTGCAGAAGGAAACCTTTCTGTGAATTAAATTATTAAGAACCAGGAACATATCCCAAAAGTCAAATCAAGGCAATTGTGGATTGAGTTTCAGCCAAATGAGACCCGCACGTAGAGATTTGCTGATAATTGTAATGGATCCCTATGGTTTTTTGCACCAGATGATGCCGCATTGGGATTGATTTGTTAAAACTGGGGAGTCCAGAATTTGATGCAGCTGTCCATGGTAGCCAATCAGCTGCTAACTTCAGCTTGTTCAGTTAAGCTTTGACAATAACACCTGGAAGCTGATTGGTTTCTGAGTAGAGCTGCACTGGATTTTGCACTCTCCAGTTTTAGTAAATCAACCCCATTGTCATTATTTGTGATCACTATAATACTATGTGTGATCTTAACTAGTTGCTGACCGCAGATAGCCGAATGACAGCTGCACTGCGGCCGGCCAGTTCTGGGTGGACGTCGTATGACGTCCTCCCAGAACGCGCTCTCCTGCGTGCCCCAGGGGGCGCGCACCCAGCGATCTCCATGATCACTGTGTCCTATGGACACAGCTGATCACGTGATGTGGTAAAAGGCCAATCACAGCGGCCTTTTACCACATGATCAGCCGTGTCCAATGACACGCTGATCACCGGGAAATTCAATTGCTGGTTCTCGGCTGCACTTTCCTCACGCTGTCAGATCGTGAGGAAAATACTGCCGAGAACCAGCAGTTGTCAGAGCGAGGATCGGCACCGATCATCAGGGCACTGATGATCAGTGCCCTGATGATCGGTGCCCAGCAGTGCCACCCACAAGTTCGGCCCACCTGTGCCCAGCAGTGCGCCCACTAGCTCCGCCCACCTGTGCCCAGCAGATCACCCACCTGTGCCACTCTGCAGTGTCACGCACCTGTGCCCAGAAGTGCCACCTACCTGTGCCCAGCAGTGCCACCCACCTGTGCCCACCCACCTGTGCCCACCAGTGCCACCCACCTATGCCCACCCACCAGTGCTGCCCACCAGTGCCACCCACCAGTGCAGCCCAGCAGTGCTGCCAGTCAGTGCCACCAGTCAGTGCCCAGCAGTTGTGCCAGTCAGTGCCCAGCAGTGATGCCAGTCAGTGCCGCCTATCAGTACCCATCATCAGTGTCACCTATCAGTGCCGCCTATCAGTGCTGCATATTAGTGCCGCCTATCCGTGCCACCTCATTAGTGCTGCCTATCAGTGCCGCCTATCCGTGCCACCTCATTAGTACTGCCTATCAGTGCCCTTTAGTGCTGCCTATCAGTGCCCATCAGTGCCGCCTATCAGTGCCCATCAGTGCTGCCTCATCAACGTACATCAGTGAAGGAGAAAAATTACCTGTTTGAAAAATTTTATAATAGAAACAAAGAAACTTTTTTTTTTTTTTCAAATGTTTTGCAATTTTTTTGTTTATAGCGCAAAAAGTAAAGTGCCCAGCGGCAATTAAATACCACCAAAAGAAAGCTCTATTTGTGAGAAAAAAATGATCACAATTTCATATGGGTACAATGTTGCATGACCGCGCAATTGTCAATCAAAGTATGGCAGCGCTGAAAGCTGAAAATTGGCCTGGTAAGGAAGGGGGTATAAGTGCCCTGTATCCCACAAGAATGTTTAAGGCTGAAGTCTAGGCAAACAGCTAAATATACTAATGAAATACAATGGGAGCTGCTTTACCTGTTGAAGGATTTGCATTTCTGTCCATCCAGTCCTGAGATTTATACATTTCTAGCCACACAGTGCAGCCCTCTCTGGCAGAGCAGTAGACTTGTTTTTTCTCTGCTGCACTTAAAGTGGATCTTCATTTCTCTCAATCAACATTTTTAATCCTTATGTTGCTAATATTAGTAAATAGATAGAAAAGAATAGTATACTTACTTGTTTGAAACTTTTTTTTTTACATCTTTTCTGGGTTTCCATACCTAGACAAATGATTTCATACATCCCAGGAGTCTTCAAGAGGAAGTACATACTCCTGACTGCATGCCTGAGCTAAGGGCCGATTGATTCCAGATTCCAGGAAGTAAACTCATCTGACCTTCCTTAACCACTTCCTGTCCGGACACTTTTATCCTCTTTCTGTCCAGGGAAATTTTCAGCTTTCAGCGCTATCACACTTTGAATGACAATTGCGCGGTCATGCAACACTGTAACCATATGAATTTTTTACCATTTTTTTGAGACAGATAAAGCTTTATTTTGGAGGTATTTATTCGCCGCTGGGATTTTTATTTTTTTTGCTATGTAAATGAAAAAAGTCAAAAAATTTTGAAAAAAAATTTGCTTTTCTTATACAATTTTGCAAATAAATAATCTTTCATCATAAATCTTGGCCAAAATGTATTCCATTATCTTTTTAGTAAAAAAAAAAAAAGCCAAATTAGTTTATAACCAAAAAATTATAATTTTTAAACATTTTCTTTACATTTTTATTTTATTTTTTTATATTATTATTTATGTGTTGTTTTTTTAACACACTGTCACCCTAGCAGTGCAGTGTCACCATGACACTCTTGCAGCCATTCAAAACTACTGAGTGAGCTGTGATTGGTCACAGCTTGTCACATGGTACAAGGCTGTTGTGAATAGCCTTGTACCATGAGATCTCTGTGATCATTCACAGATTTCACACATAGTAAGCAATGATGTCACAAGTGACATCTTGCTTACTACTTTGCATGTGATCACTGATTGGCCAATCAGTGATCACATGATCGGGACCTCGTACAGAGGTCCCGTCCGACGATCGGTGCTCCACTGTGTCCGGAGGACACAGCGGGCACCAGGTCTCGGTGCTGTGCGCTCCCAGGGAGTGCGCACAGCTAGAAATGGCAGGTGCCGTTTATGAACAGCAACCCGCCCCTGGAGTGCCACCGCCCTGCCGTTTATAAACAGCAGGCGGACGGCAAGTGGTTAAGATGTCCATGGGCCAGAAATGTTAGAGGAGTGTTTTTCAAAGTGATTTCTAAGCAACATAAAGCATGGAGACATGACTGGATGGGGGAATTTACTTTGAATATTGAAAATGAAATAGTGTTTTTGGCTTGAGCTGCTAAGATGCAGGTGTAGTTTTGCTTACAGGTCTTGTTCTTCCCACAGCTTTTGACTGAACAGTGAAGAAGCTGCACACTGAGCTTATCAGCTATTAGAATGTTCCATGATAACCACTGGACAACTGACTGGTTTCTTGTGCTGCTTCTCCCTCTTCAGTCTGAGGTCTGCTGTAAAAGGGATTACAATTGGCTGTTGCCAAGGTAAATCTAAGCAATTATTATGCTTGCATACCTTTAAAAAAATAAATTTAATTATGTATTAATAAATTCGGAGCTGCATTAATTTGTGTATTTTACCTTTTTAGATTTAATACATTTCACACTGTCAAACAATATCACAGCTACAAATCAACTGAAAATCAACATCTGTTATATAGTCTGAACCATAAAAATAACTGTTGAAGGAGAGACAGAGGCTATAGACTTCTATGGAGAAGTAGTAAGTGTTTATGTGCATTTCACACATTGCAATAATTCTTTCCAGGGAACACATATACAGAACTCATACCAATCAACAAATGATTATGCCCTTAATGTTTCATAAAGGATTAACACAAGAATTAAAACATGGAGTGGCTGAAACTAATACATACATTTGTGTTTCATAATTTAACCACTTCTTGACCGCGCTATAGCTGAATGATTGCTACAACGCGGTCATCCTGTTCTGGGAAGGCGTCATACGACATCCTCCCAGAATGTGCCCCCCCCCCGCACGCCCCCAGTGGAGCGCACCCAGTGGTCTCTGTGATCACTGTGTCTTTTAGGCACAGCTGATCACATGACATGCTAAAAGACCAATCACAGCAGCTTTTACCACATGATCATTTGTGTCCAATCACAGCTGATCATCATGTAATTACACTTGCCAGTTATTGGCAAACTTTCCTTACGCTGTCACAGCGTGAGGGAAGCACTGCCGATAACTGGCAACTGTCAAAGGAGACATCTGCACTGATAATCAGTTCCCTGGTTATCAGTGCCACCCCCCCAAAAGTGCCCATCTGTGCCCAACAGTGCTGCCCATCAGAGCCCAGCAGTGATGCCAATATGCTCCTGTCAGTGCTGCCAATTTGTGCCCATCAGTGCTGCCAGTTAGTGCCCTTCAGAGCTGCTTCAGAGCTGCATTAGTGCCTCATCAGTGCCCATCATTGCTGCCTATCAGTGCCCATCAGTGCCACATATCAGTGCAGCCTCATCAGCGCCTCCTCATCAATGCCCACCATTGCTGCCTCATCAGTGCCTATCAGTGCCGCCTCATCAGTGCCCATCAGTGCTGCCTATCAGTGCCACCTCATCAGTGCCCATCAATGCTTCCTATCAGTGGCCATGAGTGCTGCCTATCAGTGCAGCCTCATCAACGCAACATCAGTGAAAGAGAAAAATTACCTGTTTGCAAAATTGTTTACTAGAAACAAAGAAAAAGTTTTTTTGTTTGTTTAGCAAAAAAATAAAATACCCAGTGGTGATTACATACCACTAAAAGAAAGCTTTTTGTGTGCGTATTTGTGTGAAAAAAACGATAATAATTTAATTTGGGTACAGTGTTGCATGACCGCGCAATTGTCATTCAAAGTACGACAGCACTGAAAGCTGAAAATTGGCCTGGGCAGGAAGGGGGTAAAAGTGTCCCGGTAGACAAGTGGTTAAAACCACAAGATCATACTTAGAGTTTGATTTACTGATTAGTGCAAAATCCGGAGCAGCTGTGCATGGTAGCCAGTCAGCTGCTAACTTCAGCTTGTTCAGTTAAGCTTTGACAATAAAACCTGGAAACTGAAAGGTTTCTATGCAGAGCTGCACCACATTTTGCACTCTCCAGTTTTGGTAAATCAACCCCAATGTGTATTGTACACAACCAAGCACTTTAGATCTAAACCAAATGTCAACCAATGTGTATTGTACACAACCAAGCACTTTAGATCTAAACCAAATGTCAAGCAATCAAACTTTATAAATGAAGGGCGTTTTTCTTTCTAAAACTTCAAGGTTTCCCCTTAAAGAAGCCAAGCCAAGTGAAACCCAGGTCTGGAGTTTGTATTTATGATATGTGCATTTATTTTATGACCTATGTGAGTTTAATCATCCTCTTTTATCAACACTGGCTTACACAGATGTGCTCTTTTCCTGCAGAACCTTGGGTTTCACAAAGATGTTTTATCTAACTGGAGCAGAGGAAGGGTAGTGTCTCCTTATCCAGAGTGGTAACTTTTAATGGAAGGGGAGGTTTGTCTTGGCAAAGGGTGGGCCACAGAGTCACACTTAGGCAGTAAATAAGCCCTGGATCAAGTGTCATCATAGGAGTCCTTGGTGGTACTACATTCTTATCCCACTGGGATCAAATTCCAACAGTTAGAAAGGCCTGCTCAAGATGCATAATAATGCCTGTCCTCTGTAGGACCCCTCCCTTTTCTTCCTAGCTGCACCCATAGGAATGGGTCAGATTCCTGCACAATGTATGGCACCTGCTATTTTAAACTGACTGAAGATAATTTTAGATCTACACTTTTTGACAATTCCCTCCTGAATAAATGAACATTGTTCATGAAACTCTTAGAGGAATAATCCAAAGTTTATTGATTATGTGATTTATCACAAAACGCTGAATACAATTAAACATAGTATGGCACCTGCTATTTTAAACTGACTGAATGTGGTTTTAGATCCTCACTTTTAGACAATTTCTTCTGAAGAAGTAAACATTATCCATGAAACGCGTAAAGAAAAAAATCAAAAGTTTATGGAATATGTTATTTATCACAAAATGCTGAATACAATGTTTATGATATGTCATGTTAGACTTGGATAACATCAAGAGTGATTATATGTCTTCCTGTAAAAACTCTTGTATTGGTAAAAATGGTAGGTATGGAATCTAGTTGCTAGTCAAAATTCTTTTCTTTTAGGAATTTGTAGTCTTACATGCTGTAAATAAAATATACAAGATTTTCTTTTAAAATTACATACATATACTTTTTTTTTTTTTGCACCTGATAATCATTTTGATTGTGTAATGCATACCAATAAAGTCCCAGCAAA